ATGTATGGTACAGGTGTGTGCAGTCCAGACGAGGTCAATGCAAATGAATCAGAAAAGGATTTTAGAATGGATATTAGCCCGGGAGGTACGAAATATTGGTATACAGAATGCGACTGTAGTCTGAAACCATATGAAGGTCAAATGTTTAACACACTAGAAGATGGAATCAAATTTTATACAATGTATGCCAAAACAATCGGATTTGATGTGCGTCGAAGTTCGGATAAAAAGAACGATTTTGGTATTGTTTTGAAAAAGGATGTTGTGTGTTCGAGGCAAGGTTTTAAGGAGGATAGGGGCAAAGAAACATTGGGTGAAGGAGGGGGGTCACAGAAGAAGAGAAGGCGGACCACTAATAGAGTTGGTTGCGGGGCAAGGATCGTAATGAAGATAGTCCCCGACGGGAGATATAAGGTACACAAATTTGAAGAAAGACACACACATTGCCTGTGCGAGGAAAGTCAGAAACCACTTATGAAAGTGAATTGCAAAATAGAGATTGCACACCAAGAATTCATTACCAAGTGCGAAAAAGCAAACGTTGGTGCAAGTAAAAGCTTTGACATATATGCCGAGATCGTAGAGGGTCCGGAGAATGTTGGTGCGACGCAACATGACTTCAAGAATTACAGAAGAGAGCTATTAGCGTACATGAAGTGGGGAGATGTGCAAATGGTTATATCAAATTATCTTGAGCAGAAAACAGATTGTGCTGACATGTACTTCGAGTTCGAAGTGAACGCAAATGATCAATTGTCTCGTGTATTCTGGGCGGATGGTATGGCAAGGAAAAACTATGGTGCGTTTGGTGATGTGGTATCCTTTGATGCAACATACAAAACAAATAGGTATGAGAGAGTTAATTTAAATAGATGGGTGTGTAGATTTTAATTCGTATACTGGAAGTTAATAATATGATAAGCATTTTATGTATGGCAGTGCGTGTGTGTAAGTGAGGATTTTACTCGCACAATGTGTGGATATATGTGAAACAACGTATAACGTATCTTAAGGGATGTTTGTGCGTGGGTTGTAAGTTTGTGCGTTATTGTAGTATGTCTGTGCATGTGTTCGCGATGTGTGCGATTGATTTGTTTTGCCAAATATGTGACACCCGATTAATTGGTATGTAATGGATGCAGGTGCCACCTTGTGTTTGTTCCATTCACAGGAGTAGACAACCACAAACAATGTGTGACGTTTGCAGCGGCCCTGATTGATAAGGAGGACGTGGAGTCGTACAGTTGGGTATTAAACCACTTCAAGAATGCAATGGGGACTGCTCCACCTATAGTAATAACCGATCAAGACCCTGCTATGAAAATTGCAATTGCAGATGTGTTTCGCGGTAGTCGTCACCGTTACTGAATGTGGCACATTATGACTAAGGTTAGCGAGAAAGTGGGTGCTGAGATGTCAAAGAATAATGAGTTCCGGAGGGCATTGAATAGTGTTGTGTGGAACGAGAAAGCAACGAGAACAGAATTCGAGATCGGGTGGAAATCCGTAATTGGGAAACACAACCTAAATGAAAACCGATGGCTAACGCGTATGTACGAGGAGCGTGCGTCATGGGTGCCCGCATTTTGCGATGATGTGTTCATGGGAGGGCTACTACGTACCACTTCCCGTTCAGAGGCGGAGAATAGGATTTTCCAGGGTAACATGAACAAGCACCTATGCCTGGTAGAGTTTTTCACCCGTTTCGAGTGTGCGGTAAGAAAGCAACGAAAGAACAATCTAGAATTGACCACAAGTAGCTTCGGACAGACACCACAATTTCAGACACAACTACGAATAGAGCGATAGCCGCAACAGTGTACACTTTGACTATTTTTTATGAGGTCCAAAAGCAAATAAGTGCAGGGTGTTTTAAATGTCGGGTTCGATCATACACTGAGGCAGACGGGGTGAAGACATATATCGTTGAGGATGAAAATGAGCAACGAAACACAGTGTAACACCCCGTGTTACGATCCCTAAAATCAATTAAATCATTTAATCAATTGCCCAAAAGAAAGAATTAAATCACAATAATTAATTAGGAAAGGCCCACCATAGTCCACGGGCCCTTATCCCTAAATCCAATCCTTAGTCCCAAAAGGAATAGAATTAGCAAGCCTATAATATTAGTTCCTAACTAGGACTCCTAAATATATAAATAGGGGACTTAAGAGGCACCTAGAACCCCCCCCCCCCCCACAATAACGTCTCACCACCCAAAGAGCTCCAAGAATTACCTTAGAAGAAATCAAGAAATCAAGAAAGCAAGAAAGCTTAAAGAAAGACCCTTCATAGCCAAGGAATTAATTAAGGCTAAGAGGTAAACCATGTCTCAACAAAACCTATTTTCATAGCTATGATTCCCCTCGTAGGATTTCCCCATAATATTGTGTATTGTTTATTTGTGATATTATTATTGATGGTTGATGGGATGATCCCATGGGTGATCTTGATGAGGAGAGGTTCTTGATAATTATGGCGTTCTTGATGATTATATGACGTTCTTGATAATTATGGCGTTCTTGGTGATTATATGACGTTCTTGATGATTATATGGTGTTCTTGATATTCTTAATGATTGTATGGTGTTCTTGGTATTTATATGATATTCCTACCGAATCTTGATGAATGGTGTTCTTGTTGATTTAAAATTAATTAGAACCCTAGGTTATATCGTGGAATTCGTATGGTATTATCCGGGGTATATTGGGTGGGAATTCGCATGATTGGGTGTTGATTATGTTTAGAAAAGCATGATAGCTTATGTGCCGTATGTTTCTTGATTTTGATCCATTAATTGTCTACGTGAGCTATCAATTGCGTTTGAAAGTGTCTAAGCATGGTTTCGGGTTCCACAAAGGTTCCCGGGGCGTTTTTGATGAAAAAGAGTCTCTGGAGGGGTAGGTGGGGGTAGGGGACCCGCCACCTACCCGCGGCCAAAAAGCGGAGCTTCGGCAGCGGGCAGCCGGCGGGCGGGTAGTTGCCCGCCGGGCACCCGCTGCCCGGAACAGTAACACTGGCGGGTGAACCCCCACCCACCGGCTACCCGCTGGAAATTCCCACACTTCGGGATCCAGGCTTCTCCGTTTGATGTTCCCCCGACCCCCGTGGTGTCCCAACAGACTCCGTCTATCGTGCCTATGTCTAGTCTGATTTTCAGGTACCGTTCGTAGGTCATATGAGTCTTATATATTGCATGCTAGTGAATTGATATCCCGTTGACCTAGGTGAAAGAAGTATGAACCCCTTAGGAATATTCTTAGTATGTGAAGGATCACGCATATGTTTGTTATACGTTTTCTTCCCCTTCCCAATGTGTTAACGTGGGTTGCATGTGTTTGCTATGTGTTATGTGTGCATGTTACCCCGATTTGGTTGAGATCAATCGGGCTATACGGGTAGTCGGGTGGGCTGAGAACCATACCGGCTGTTAACCAGGCTGGTAGAGACCGGTCAGGTATATAAATATTATATAGGACTAAGGTCCACTATACGGGCAGTTGAATGGGTTGAGAACCATCCCAACTGTTAACCAGGCTGGTAGAGACCGGTCAGGTATATAAGTATTATATAGGACAAAGGTCCACTATACGGGTAGTTGAATGGGTTGAGAACCATCCCAACTGTTAATCAGGCTGGTAAAGACCGGTCAGGTATATAAATATTATATAGAGCTGCGGCTCATCGGTCGGTTGCGATCGACCCCTCCGTATTGTGAGACGGGGCAGGGTGCTGCGGGGCCGTGTCAGAGCTATATGTGCTGACCCTCATGTATGGGCATGCGATTGGTCCTGTGGTGCCAACAAAGTGTGCTATATGATGAGATAAGAAGGATTGATGATATGACTGTCATGGAAACGTGACCATAGGGCTCTTGCTAGTAATGCTTAATTGTGATTATTGGTTGTGCTTATCTATGACTGTTTCCTATGTGAGAATTGTATATGCTTGGTTATGACTGTAGACTGTGTGTACCCCTATTTGTCGAGTCGGTTCCCTGATTTGAAAGCTAGAGTCTCTTAGGATATATCTTCATGCTTCGAAATGACTTTTCGTATATCTATGTGTATATATATATATATATATATATATATATATATATATATATATATATATATATATATATATATATATATATATATGTATTGTATTTCAACGCGTTGGAGTGGGTTACCAGCATCTCTCGCTGAACAGATATATTTGGCTTTCAGGCACAGAAGAGTAAGTCACTAGAGCGCGCTAGAACTTGGAGCGTAGAAGTAGATAGTTTCCCTTTCAGCCTGCGTGCCATGTTTATGCGTTTACATTATTGAGGATATTAGTTAGTTAGCCTGTGCACCTGAGTTCTCTAGCTCAGGTGTGGCATAGCACCCCGTACTCCTGTATTATGTTTTGCGATTTAATGAGATTTCACCTTTATTTTATAAGTTTTAAAATGTTCTGAAATTTCGGGGTGTTACAGTTGGTATCAGAGCTTAAGTTGACCCTAGGATAAGGCTCTTAAGACCGGACTTTAAGACATTAAGCTTGAACTCTAGATATTTAGGAACATAGGATCCAAGAATCTTAGGACACGCGGTGAGATTGTGAAACCTACACATAACCTCTCCTCCCTTACCTAAAGAAAACTTTCCCCCGCTTATCACGTCAAAGAAGGACACCAAAGCCCCAATTTAACATTCTTATAAACATTGACCCAGGAAGACGACAGCATGGCACCCAACAGAAGACAATGAAGGACTCCAGAACCCGCTGCACACAACGCCCTAACCCAAACACTACAACAACTAACACAAGTCGCCCAAGCACTAAGCGACGTGGCTCTCCGCAACAACAGGCCCCCACCACCTCCATCCAACGCAAACGCAGACTTCGCCCGACAAGTCTCTAACCATCGACCACCCACGTTCTCAGGAGAAGAGGATCCCGTAATCCTGGAGGAATGGATCCGAACCCTCGACAAAATTCTCGGGTTGGTAGAATGCCCAGAAGAACGCCGCGTGGAGATAGCCTCATTCTACTTCGGACACGAGGCCGATCTTTGGTGGATCCACGAGGGTCCCACTTACCAACAAGAACCGGGGTTCAACTGGGAACAACTCAAAACGCGACTACGAGAGCGATTCTATCCAATACACGTAAGAGCATCCATGTACGAAGAGTTTCTCCATCTGAAACAAGGGACAGCTACCGTCATAGAATACCACAAACGATTCATTGAACTAGCACGCTTCGCACCAGAACTAGTCCCCACCGAGGTAACAAAAATAGAAAGATTCGTATCGGGCCTCAACTTTGAAGCCCGAAAAGCACTAGTGGTAAGCAGACCTCGGACTCTCAACGAGGCTTACTCCAGTGCCGCTAATCTCTACCGACTCCAACTACTCCAACGCGGGGTTCAGGAGCAAATACGAAAGAGGAACCCCGGAGGAGGGGCACCACCAGTAAAGAGAACAAGAAACGACGCTAACACAAGACCAAGTAACCTGACCAACCAAAGGCCACCTCTGGGGAACAACGACGCTAGCTCCAGAAGCTTTCCTTGCCCGAAATGCAACAAGAACCATAGAGGCAAGGATTGCATGGGCAATCCCTTGCGATGCTTCAACTACGGAGAGGAAGGACACAAGGCCTTCCTTTGCACCCAACCCCAAAGACCACGCACTACCACCATGGGACAACATGGGGGCACCGCTCATCGAGGAAACTACGACGCTCCCGGAAAAATATTCGTCATGAGCCGCACTCAAGCCGACCTCGGGAACGAGAGCAATCTCGAGGAAGGAAACCTAAGCCCAGAAGACGAAGACCACGCAAACCCCGTGGGAGAAAACCAAGAAGACGAATTCTGTCTAGGTTAGGTTGGCAATTTCTTGTAATCACCTTCATGGTTGAACTACTTATTTAGCTTAATTACTTCGGAGATATTATAAATAAAAGATCGGTTCAAAATTCGGTCCTATTTACGGGGGTAGAACTAGAACCATATCCCATCATCATAGGGCCTAGTAACCTTCCACTTAAGTGACCAAGACTCTAACCACTAGCCCATAAGTGTTTCTTGAAACCTCAAGGTAACACTCCCTTGTTAAAGCCCCTACAAATCCCTAAAACCCACAAAATCCCCAAATCAAAAACCCTTCTTCTTCTTCCCTTTCTCCTTCTTCTTCCCCACTCCCTTCCCTACTCTCCCTCACGCTCCTCGCCGCACCCCACCGAAGAAACCCCCCAGCCACTCGACGCCGCCACCAACCTAACGCCGCCGCCGGCCAACCACTTCCCGCCAGTCCCACGCCGCCAAACCAGCGCCCCGCCACCTTCGCCCGGCGGACGCCTAGCCGCCGCCCGCTGCCATGCACCGCCCA